GACCTCCACTTCCTTTTCAGGTTTCCTTGCCTGTACCCTTAGGAATTGGAACCGTAGGCCGGCGTGTGGCACCGCTTTCAGTTCAGTACACCCTATCCTAAGTGTGTTTGGCCTCGTGCCAACCCGGGATGAGCCCGCAGAGTGCCTCCCGTGGACCCGTTGAACGGGGGTACGTCGTTATCTCCCCTGCCCGGAGATGTACGTGTCCGCAGCGGACAGTAGCTGGCTCATGCCGCAAGAACTCAAATTTTGTCTCATCTTTGGAATTCCAAGCTGGCTCATGCCTTTACGTGACCGTAGCGGTCAGAGGTGGCAGCCCACGGGCAAGCCGTACGTGGTCGCAGCGACCGAAGTTTGTTTAAGGTTCATTGGAACCTGTCGAGACCTTGGGTGCACATACAGCGTATACATTCAAACGAGGCAGGTTTTCCTAGGTCGTTTTAATGAGGCTCGGCTTCATCGGTTCTCGTCCCCTCCATTTGGTTCCCCTTTCATCCCTTTCCCTTCACACACTCTTGTTTCCTCTTTTCTTTCATGTCCTCCTGTCTTCATGTCTGGTCATCTCATCCTTTTCTTCGTTTGCGCGCACATTGGTCCCGGCCTTAGTGTGTACGTGCACTTCTACACACATTTAAACACAGGTTTCAGGTCGCCCAGGTCTTTACAATGAGGTGGGCTTCATCGGTTGTCCCTGTGCACTTGGTTCCCCTTTCATTTCAACCACACGCACCTTTGTCCCGTCTCGTCCTCTTGTCATGTCTTCATTTTCTTGTCTCTTGTGCGCGCACACGTGCACATCGGCCCTCACCTTAGCTTCTCGCCTCCCCTCGGGGAGGCGTGTGTGTGTGTAACCATAGGGATCCTTTTGGATTTTAGGCTGTTACGAGTCACTGATATGGATTCTGGACGCAGAATCCATGTACCTGCTTCGTGATGACTTCACATTTCCCAATGGTCCCTGCTTTTAGCTACAACAAGATTCTGGCCTTTGCACCGGTTTGCTCTCGGCAGTCACGCATATAGGGCTTTGGTTTTTGACTTGCAGATGTGAGCGGACGACGTCATTCTGTCGGTCGATCGTTCGATGGTTCCTTTAGATTAGATGGCCACGCTGAACTTGATGGACCTCCACTTCCTTTTCAGGTTTCCTTACCCTTAGGAATTGGAACCCTAGGCCGGCGTGTGGCACCGCTTTCAGTTCAGTACACCCTATCCTAAGTGTGTGTGACAGCGGTTCTGCTCCCTCGGAGAAAGTTGTCAGCAAGACCACCTGTGTGACATTGTAACTACGACTGGCAAACTCTGAGGCTGCCAGGCAGTTGCTGTTGCTCGCTTTCCAAGGTCGCTTGCCATGCGACTGGACAACGAGTCCATCAAGTGAGTGGCTTGGGGGGATTGTGTTGCTGAAACTTGGTTTTTGGATCTCCACTTCACCTGGGTTTTCTTTGAACACCAGGTTTTTCTTCATCCAGCATCCAGAGCAGCATGCCAAGATGCTAGCTGCTAGAGCGTGACATGTGACTGGATGACTTGAAGCACAGCCGTTGCAAGTGCCCCATGGTTTCAGATAGTATAGCAGCATTTGTTGGCGAGAACTGTTTTTTGTCACCAGGCCAGCTTTCCCTCTTTATATCGAAGCAGCCAAGTTCTTCAGCATGGGCCCCAGACGGTATGTTCAGCTGTGATCGAACAGGTTGTGCTTGTCATCCTGTGAGAACCATCCAAGCCATCCAAACCATCTCGACATTGTTATTTTGGGCTCGCAGAAGTGAAGCACAAGAAGGTGCGATTGCTTGCATGTAGAGCGCCGAGTCAGAGCCATGCCAGCAAGGCGGCCATTGGCGCCCTCTGGGCTGGTGCTACTTGTCGGAGTGCTTTGCGCATGGTTCAGCTGGA